AGTTATCAACTTACACACTTCAGTGCATAATATCTAGCCACAGTGCAGCCAGCACGGCAAGCCGAGCGACCCCGAAAAAAAGAGCAGAAACATAATTCGAATAAATAAATTTAAAAAGCTTTAAGCTAAGGTGGAAAAATGAGAGATGGGAAGCAGGGGAGCTAAAATGAGAGGGTTCTTTGGAGAGGGAAAAAAATTAATTGCATGCCACTGAGAATATATTCTACTTTCTCGCTGAAACACAGAAATTGCTTACACACATAACAATCTCCAAAAGGTCTGGTTGAAAGCAAAAACAGTTGCAGCTCATAGTTGTAACACTAGTGTTCGTATCATGATGGACAGAAGCATACAGGTCATCGTATTTCACGCTGAGGAAATGGTCAAATTGGCTTAATGGATTGCTAAGTGAAGTTCCTTCATGATCTGTTTAGTGGTTCATGTAATCAGTCCAGCCACATCTCTCAGCTTATCTTGCAGATTATCAGCATAACTAAAGGAGTGGGTGGTGGGGGAGTGGGGATCTTTAATTAAAGCTGATTGTATTTAATGTTCTTGTCCAGACTATAATAGTTCCCTCCGTGGCCCCCACACCACCACCTGACCGAGTAGAAGCTAATTGGCTGTTAGGAGTTACTTATCTCTTTCACTCCTGGATTCTCTCTCCAATCTTTGTCTCTTTCTGTCTGTCAGTGACATCCAGGGGCAGCGCAATGTCAGTTTGTGCCCTCAAATAGCTGTGAACCTCTAATACACTATGAGCCTGATTTACAGTTTCCAAGCATAGAGCAGTTGAAGCAGTCGTTTGTATGCATAGCATGTCTTGGGTTACTTCATACCACAGTGAAAAAGATGTTCTATTAGTTACATTACTGTAACTAAAAAGCTCCACTTCTCTATTTTTACACAGAGTTGTAGTTGTTGCCTCTTCCTATGCTGTCAGATCTAGTCCCATCAGCACCTCTGAGGCAGGGCAGCAGCCGCTGGGAAGTTCGCAGGGCGACTGGGGGATGGTGAAACAGTGTGGCAACAGTGTGGCAGATGCACAATGAGCCACATCGTGTTATGACTCTGAGTGTGCGTGTCAGAACTCGACTGTGTGCGTATTAGGAACATGAAGGCTACAGTCACTGACTGAATTATGAAGACCGTGCTAAACATCATCAAAAGAGAGGTTATTATGTGTACTTGGCAAGTGACAAAAGAAGCATCCGCATGGTTCAGTGTAATTATGTTCACGTTGTGCCTGCACTTAGTGCTCATCAATTCACCAGTCAGCAATTTCCCTTGCAAATCCATGTTCATTTAAGTTCAGATATGTAGATATTCATCATCACAGCTGGATAATCAGATCAGAGGCCTAATGATGAAGGTCTTACTGACAATCTGACTGTTACTCAGCAGGCAGCCACAGCTGAGCATCAGGGATGCGGTACACAATGTCTTCTAAATATGTGGAAATCATATGTGGAATTGTAAAGTAAAGGTTTTTACTCCAGTGATCCCACAATCACGTCTCTACAAAGAAAAAATAAAAATGATGCAAAACTGGAGACTTGGACAAATACATCTCTGATATGTTCTTTTAAAATGTTCTTAAGCAAAGGATTTCATCATGTTTCCTTCTGCACCAAGCTCCATAGGAAACTTCATAATAAGACTTTTTGTTTCTCTTAGTCTAACCTTTGAGTTGTGAACTGGAGAGCTTGTCAGCAAGAATGGTCATGTACTGTTTTGTCTCTTTATACCAACTGTACATCCACTGTCATGAGGGTCCTTGGAGGTCTACAGCAGTACAGTTTCCTATTCAGCTTCTGAGGGCTGAGGACAAAGTTTAATGAAACCCTAAAATTTAGATACTAATATTAGTTAACCTTGCAGATTTGGAATAAATGTTGCCAGCCCAGTTTTGTGATATCTGAGATTGAATTAAAGGCTTGGGTCAATTAGGGTGAATCAATCATCGTATGTCCAACCTTAAAGGGCACCTGCTTGGAGCAAGTTGATCTCAGGTGAAATTGTATGTCATCTTGGACAACAACAGTATGGAGAAAAAGAAGGTGGAGATCCACTCACCGAACTTCAAGACCCTGCTGTGCCAGCAGCTATCCACATAATTACACTGGGCCACAAATAGAAAGGTTTTCTCTCCTCCCAGACCCTCTCCTTTTTTTCCCCTGTGCTGCTCAGCAGTGAGAATATATGCAGAGCACTGAGGAGAGATGGGGTATTTAGATGTGAGAAAAGGCAATTTGTCAGAAACCTAAGAGAGCACTGGAGTACTGACAAGAGGATTACAGTAGAAGGACTTGGGGGTTGAAGGGCTAATTCTGCAATCGTGAAAGAGGGACGGCTCAGTGTGCCTGCATGTATACATTAGAATCCATTATTTTTCTCAGGTGTGCATGTAGAAAATAATTGAAAAATCGCTGCTTGAATTCCACAACTCAAATGCGCCTCACAAACACACATATCCGAGTAGATACAATGTGACGGTGGCTGTTGTGTAACCAAGCCCAGTGAGTCATGAGAGGGAGGAATGCGCTGTTGTGATGGGAGGAGGAGGAGGGAGCCTGCCTGGGGAAGGACTGGCAGAGACAGTCAGATCCGTTAGCAAAGTCATCTGGGAGAGAGAACGAGGCTGGACATTTGGTTTCAGGCCTTGCCTCAACTGCCAGTGGTTGTCTGGGCCACAAGTGAGGCATAAATAAATCTAAGCCTTGATGCAGACATAACTTTGGACAGAAAGAGCATATGTGCACCTAACCACATATGCATGCAAACGCATATGTAGAGGAACACGCACATGAGTGGAAAATTTGCAGAGTGATGGGAGGTTAACGGAAGTAGAAGGCTAAAAGAAAAATAAATCCACTGTCCTTACTAACATACACACGCACAAACATAAGAAATGGGGATGTACTTGCTTTAAAAAGTAGTTCTAGTAAAATCCCGTACAATATGCGTCAAGTGCAAAATTATACCTTGTTTGATTTTATGTGTGTGTGTGTGTATTTGTGTGTGTGTTGACTTCCCGCTTGCCCTCGGAGCTATTTGTTTTCAGATGTGCGTAGGCAGTTTTGTTTATATGTCTTACTGTGTATGTTTGATTCTCGTCTAGTACATGCAAGCCGAGCGCACACACTCCCTCGCTTGCTGTCGTACATGCCAGGATTCAGGCTGTGCGTCCATTGCAGTGTTATCATCCAAAGAGGCAAACAGCCAGCCCCTGATTTAATAAGCTGCCTAGGGAGTCACATAGAGGTGGGGATGCACTATCAGCTGATAACTGTCCTCCCTGCGAGCCCAGCTTTTTTTTTTCTCCTCTGATAGTCCTGCCAAGAGAAGACTCAGCTTTTCCTTGTTTTTCTGTGTGATTGTGAATGTTGCGAGTAGGAGCGATCCCCTGCCGGCTGCTGCCCACGTGTCTGTAGGCTGCGTCCGTCCTGTGCTGACTCTTTCAGTGTCAGACAGACAGCAGAGGAGATCCCACACATGGCAAAGGCAGGCCTGAGCCCAGTGCTGAGGAGCATATGCTCAAGGCTTTAGTGTTTCAGCCCCCCACCCACCAAATACACACATAACTGCCAATCCTGCCAAGCCGCAAAAAGCCATGGGCCAGACTACTGACAGATTCCCCATCTATCACTGTGTTCTGCGCTTTACACAAGCCATACAGCTATATCAACATCGTACCGCAACCTTGACAGCAATTTTGAGAGAAAAAAGGTCCTACAAAGATGCCACAACAAGCAAGAAAAAAACCAACACAAAATTTTGCAGAGCACCAACTGCGCTTTATTTTGACAACTTCTGTTATTTTGTTGGGTGTGATGGCTTTGTAGCCGCGTTTGAGCAGTCTTCTGGTGATCTGTGAGTGGAATAGCTCTGTATTTTATCCAGTCTAGTCTTTCTAGCAATGATGTTCGAAGCTGATGCTAAAAGAATCATGTACTGGATGTGTAGGATATTGGACAATGTATATAGTTATGTAATTACATAGTTAGACATGGACCAAAGATCTTAATAATTTCCATTGCTTGTAATGTTTTATTGTCAAAGGTTAGTGAGGGTGGTGTATGCCTATGCAGCTATCCTGGGAAAATCCTAGAAACCCTTTTAATGGTTGTCAAACCACATCTTCACTGATACATACTGAGGTGTGAAAACACGCCATTAATGGTACACGGGATGTCTTCAAATGTCGTCTTCATTGGGGAAAGAGTTAAATGATTCTTTTTTATTGTCAAGCTTTTGTATTTCTGTGGTGCTGATGTTTTTCTACAGTTGGTGATTGTTTTTTTTTTTCTGTGTGCGACTACCTCAGTATAAATGTGTATGGCACAACAGCTCACATGATAGGCATACTTTCAGGTGGCCGACGTGACCCGCAGCTGACATCGAATGATTGATCCTGTTGCTGGGATAAGTGCCTGCACACTGCTGAGCACACCGGTCTACTGAAATGCAGCCAGGCGGAAAATTAGAAATCTCTTCATCCCTGATCCATTTGAAATCTGATAACTCCTATCTTCCCCTCTTGCAGGCACCTTTTCTTAGCCAATAAATCAGTAATTAAAGAATGTGTTTATGTGTATGTGTGTGCATGTACATAAGGGGCAGGTGAGTGTCCTTGGGGGGGATGAGTATGGATAGTTGAGGTGATTGGGGTATTTAACACTGCCCATCCACCCTCAAACACACAGGTACGTCTTTAAACACATTGTGTTGTCCCAAGTACAAGCGCCTGCCTAGTCACAAATGGAAGTGTACACATACAAACAAGTTTCACAGTGAGTGCTTGGTGACAGCTGGAGGTGTAATGGTGCCTCTGGTATCAAATAAATCAAAGTCAGGCCTCCCCTGAGCACTGCGTTTGTCCCCTTCGTAGCCAGCAGTGTAGTTGCTCTCCTACAGTTGCACTGAGACAGAAATATCTCTCATGTGAACATTTCATAATGCTTCTTAACTTCTAACATCAGTCTTGTTGTGTTGTCCAGGTACATCGGCCCAGGGCAGCCCGCTTCTGGCTTCCCTCCCCGTCCCAGGACGACCTCTGCAGCCTCAGCTCGACCTCAAACACCTCCTGCCCTTCAGACTCAATGGATCCTCCCCACTTAGCCTGTTCCCTAACTTTAATACGGTGAGTCTAGTGGGTACTAGTCATAATAAACCTTACTTTTAGAAAAAAATGGACTGAAAAATAAGATGTTGAAGTCATTTGAGAACAATGTTCAATGTCAGCAATACTCTGTAAAAAAAACAGTTTAACATTTTGTCTCATCTTTCAAAGCATACTTTGAAAGTTACACAGAATTTGAGGCAAGGCCAATTTTTTTTTAAATCTAATCAGCTACAAAAAAAAAAATCACACGCTGAAGAGAATTGATTAGAAGACAACACACAGGAGACATATTAGCCTGATTTCGTTCTCTGTGGCAGCATGAGGCATATTTTTATGGTATAAGGGTCGGGGTACTTGTACACATACTTCATCATTTTTGTGTCAATATGCCCCTCATGCCAACTCGGTTTATATCAGGGAGTGTTACAAAGAAATACAGGCCTATAAAGCTGTGTCATTATTGCTAGCTATTCTGTTTGTCACTATATCAATACTTTTCCTGCTACACCACAGCCTCCAGTGCTGTGCCCAGGCTTTATCCTAGCTTTAGGTTACAGTTTTTAATGAAGCAAGGTTTGACCTCTGAATATTGCTTTGGTGAATTGTGTCACTATATTTGATTTATTTTGGTTTAAAATGTAAAATTGAGTAGACATGCAGGCATTGTTTAAAATAATGCAAGTGTGTATTTGTAAATACATTTGATTGACATTTTATTTACATTTGAGACACAGAAACACAGTTTTTTCCCCATTTCTTTATTGAAAAGGTCAAATATAACATAGTTTGAAAGGCTTAAAATAGTATTTTTCCACCAAAAAGATGATTCACAAAGAAAAGCATTGCAAGCTTAAACAATCTGTAGAAACTGGACAAGTGGGAGATAAAAACAAGATGTGGAAGACCTGAAAAATTATCTTCTGCAAATGAAAATGATGGCCTTAAGAAATAGGTGGGAAAAAAATCCAGCAAAGACCTGACACAGGACCCGAGTGATGCATCTGCTCCATATGAAGACAGAAACTACTGTCAGATTTTGACCCACCATGCATTACCATCTGGTAAGCGTCTCACTGGCAACAGCTTTATTTGTCCGCATGACAATGATCTTAAACACACTGCCAATAAAGTAAAAGCATAGCTTGTTAGAAGACAATAGAGCACTATCACTCATAGACAGCCCGCAAATATTGACTTTTAAGCCCAATAAGAATGTACAAACTGTGTCTTTGCTTTGTTTTGGGGTTTTTGTTGTGTGAAAAATGACCACACACACACACACAGTCCATCTCAGGAATTTAGAGACATGCTAAATGTTTTTCTTTTTCACTTCTCATCCAAATGTAGATTTTCTTCTGTCACTTTTCATCCTGTTCCCAAGATTGTTTAGACATCTGGCAAAGCTGTCTTCAGTGTCTTTTAAAGATCTTTTCACCACATTTTTGCTACTTGGGGCTTTCCTGCAGATAGAGTTAGTCGAGGTCAGCTGTGTTCTCACTACTGGAAATACTTCATAAGCTTTAGGACAGGGTTAGAGCATGTAGAGTGTGACAGCCACTTGCTTGCATCTTCACAAAAATACAAGTAGATATACTATAGAGTGCACTGGGAATGTGGCAGGTTAAAAACTATTTAATATCCCATCCGATCACACTGTATTGGACATTTGCCTTCTCACTTTCTCCTCCACACATTAGGTAATGTCTAGGGAAGTTCAGGATTGCAGTTTATGTGTAAAAATAGCCTCTGTTTCAAACATCACCCACAAACCATTCAGTTTTCAAGCACATTGACTCTGATAGCTCAGTCTCTGGAATTAAAAGCTTATATCTTTGATCCTTTACTTTCCAGCACTGTGGTCATTGTCATTTCAAGTGTGTATGTGTGCAAGCATTTTTTGATTTCTTTGATCCTACTTTTCCACTCTGCGTGTGTGTAGAAGAGTGTGCCACAGTGTCCAAGTGTTTTCAGTCCTTTCATTGCAATATGAAACTATTTCCAGTTCTGTGGTCTGTAAATGGAGTATAAGCTAGAGATTTAGCTCCTGCATACACTTTTACACCTTTTGAAACTGTACATATAAAAAGTAGGATGAGAAAGAGGGAGATTCAGTCATCTGTCTGTCTGGCTGGTTCTTTACAATGGAGGACATGTGTGAGGGGGTGGATGAGACATAAATGTTTGCTCTATGATGTGTATTTGTGTATGTAGGGGGCTGCCAGCCTGTGTGAAAAGTGCAGCTTTTTTTTTTTTTCATTTGTTCAACCGCCTACTGCTTTGGGTCATGAAGTCGGCTATACTGCCCTGTGGAGGATTGAGCAAAAGCAGCGTGGTAAACATTCACTCCTCTAAAACCTCATGTATTTATATTAGTGGTGGAGGCAGTGGGGTAGGTGTCTGTCAGTGTTTTGTCTGTGTTTCTCTTGTGTTTCAATGGGAAAATTGCTGTTTTTATTCTCCAACCAATGTCTGTGCCTCACCATTCTAATTTGGGGTTTTAGTTTTGCACATTATGCTTCCCTATTAGAGAAATAAAAGCATCCATATAAGTAAAAGCTATTGGAGACGGAAAAGGCAGTAGATTACCAATGAATGCGGCAAGGTAGTACAAAGGAAATCGTTTTTACCGAGTCGCAATGCTGTTCAGTCTGCCATTGTTAAATAGAATACAACTCGCAGTAGGACTTGGAATCTACCACAACCACAATGCAGAAATTATGATAACCACGGAAATAACATCAAATCAGTGTCGCTTCAGTCACGGGAGGAGATGATTAGCCCCCATAATACACAGTCTGACAGTGCAGCTGTGGCATTAATCACAAAGTCCATTCAACAAGAAGCCCCAGGTTCTCTTAGCCTTGATAAGGCACACGTTGTCCCAGACGTGTGCAGGAGGGAAGATGAATGCACCTGTCTCCAAAACCAAATATCCTCCGGTTCCCCTGGTGTCCCTTCTTACATCCTCCCACTGCTCCACCCTCACTCCTCATCCCTTTGTGTGTCTCGTTCTCTCTCTCTGTCTCTATCTATCTACCCTGAAAGCCCATCACGGACTCAGCCACCCGGTGCAGGATAAGTTCTGTCTGCACTAGGATGGCAGGGGAGAACCGAGGGCTTGGACAAAAGACGCATTTATAGCAGTCGGTTCAGGATGGCTGCAGACAGACAATGGACACATTCTTCAGTTCCTAAAACAAACGGCTGTGCGCAGCCTGCTTTTTTAAGGCAGCAGGAAGAGGGCAGCAGGAAGACCTAGGTTTACCTTGGTCAGGCTACAGTTGGTAAAAGGAAACAGCCATTTGCTTCCAAAGATATCTCTGTGTCATGTAGAGGAAACCAAAATAAAGCAACAATGGTAAAGAGCCCTGAGGGAGAGATGTACCTGCAGCATGAAGGTTTCATTGTCAGATATGTTTATATTCCTTTTCACACCTGGCCATGAGGAAGCCGTAGTAAATAGACTCTATCCTTGCAGAAGAGGCAGCTACCTTGGACATGGCACAGTTTTTTGTTTTTTTGCAGTGTGGAAGAGTCTGATGTTTTTTAACCTTGTGTGCCAGAAACAAAGCAAAGCAGTATGCCATGAGCACGCCAACACTCTTTGATCTCTGGGCAGGTGAGGCTGTCAGCACAGCCACCAGTGTAGTTTCAGTAAGCGTAGCGGTATCATTCAGTGTGTGAAGAGTGATCTCCCCGTCCCTCCGGAGACCCTTCTCTCAAACGAGCTGAGGAATAGAGTGGGTCAGACCTTGTACAAGCCTGGGGCAAGATCCAAGGTGATTGTTATATGTGATACCACGCTGAAAGGTGCCCCAGTGAAATCAGCTGTCACTGTGGAATGCAGATCTTATAATGAAGCCTCAGGTTTCACCCTGCTGTTTATAGTATGGTGTTCTGGGACTCTCTGCTGTCTCTTCATAGGCAGTTAAAACAGTTTTAGTCTGTCTAAAACCTTCTGCAGTAAACACTTCATTGTGGGCTGCAATGACTCATAAAGTTTAAGCAGTGAAGTTTTGGAGATTACAATGAAAATACATTCATAAAGAAGAAACTCTTTTCCCTGTAGATTCTTATGGTGTAGGTGTTGATTTATCTAACAGTTTAAGCACCACACTTCCCCCATTAATATCACCGCTGCAATACAACGCACAAAAGTGTAACTCACTAAAGGATAAGGATCATCTTGGTTCTGCATCATCTTTTCATTCAAATTGAAAAGGTGATTGTTTGCGTGAGGTGGTGTTTCATACCTGAAACCCATCAAGATTGTCATCCAAACACAGAAGCAGTTACTTAATTTAGTCAAAGTCGATGTGACAGCAGCAAAACATCTCTTGTCTTTTGTGCTTAAGTAAAGAAAAAAAAATTACATCCAGCGAGTTTGAAAAATAATAGATCTGAGCTTTCTAGGAGGGGAAAAATGTGTTTTCATCTTTACTTTAGAATTCTCAAAAACTCAGGTGTACAAAAATTGGGAGATTAAAAAAAACAATACCAATAGCAAATTGCAATCAGTGAATACAATCAGTTAATTTACAACAAGTAGAAATGCAGCATGTGGTACTAGAAAGTGGTGTTTACCCTGGAAGTTGCATTTCTTAGGTAGAAAAATAACGAAATCTTGGAGGAGTAACATATTATCTATCGAGAAATAACTTGAGTTCATTCAAGGCCATCTAAACTCTTTTAGGGATTGTGCCATTTTTTGTTCTTTAGTATTACTATTTTATTAACTCCTTCGCTGAATATTGCACAGTATGTCACTACTGTTGTAGTAATTCCACCAAACCACAGTTGCACTTTCACAAAGTGAGATGGAAAACCCTTTGATCTTAGTTATCTTTGATTTATTTAATTTTTCTTCCTTTTTTATTGAACAGCAGCTAAGCATATTTTTTGGGAAGCATAAGAAAAAGCGTATTTACTTTTATACTTACAATAGTCGAATTTCTCTCCTTCAGTTTGGCAGTTCACCAGCAGCTTGACTACAGTAATTAGCTTGCATGCATAATAAGGTGGCGCCCTGTCACCTTATTTCTTCAAAATGAAGTTTGCCCTCGTCTAGTGCATCAGAAGGAGTTTAGCAGTACGACTCTTAATGAGCATCTTTAATCAAAATAAAGCCTCTGGTAATGTTCCGTGTATGTAAGCCAAAGAGCTACTGATGATCAGAAAATCTGTATCACGTGCTGACAGGAACCGAGTTATTCTCTTTACATTAAAGGGTAAGGCAGCCTCATGCTGACATTACAGAGTAACCTTTTAATTTGTTTCAGTTTCATTTCATAAGCTCAGCTGTCACTGAAATATACTCTCTGTTTCTTTTTACATTTAATATATTTTTATTAATAGTGGTATGCTTTGACTTTCATGTGAGGAGTATTCTCCATGCCCTCTGGTTGCACACAGCAAGAGCTCAGACTGTGGTGATCCCACAGCAGAAATGGGTTGCCTTTTGATTCTAACATTACCTTATCATCAGTAGCATTTAATGCTTTCCAGTTTTTTTATTATTATTTCCATCTTGTGTATCCAAAAATAGCTTTTCCTTGTTTTCCTTATTTTCTGCCATCCGTATATCCTGTTAGTCTGTTCTTATAATAAAGCTCATAAGAACCATGGCCAAAGCTCCAAATAATGAGGTCAGAGTATGTAAACACAATTCTTGAGTCAAACGCCCGGACTTCAGACTGTCTATTGATATTTTTTTCTATTCCTATTCCCATACAGAGCTGGGAATATTTTTTTCTATCCCTAGCTCTGTATGATCTATCGCAGGCATACAGCTGTGGCTGTGAGGACTTCCCATTTACCTGCTGTTTATTTGTTTACCAGGGGGAAGCCAATCAAAGCTGGCATAAAAGGCAGAGTGACTAGTGGATGAATTTAGGGGTTGGACCAAGGCCTAATAAGGATTACATTGATCTATGAATCATGTAGGGCTGCTCTAGAGGAGCCTGAGCGTAAAGATAGTTTGGAGTTGGAAAAGAGAATATCCACACTGATGCACAACTCGCCACCTTTAAAGGAAAGTGAATTTGTTGTATTGCACTATACACTAAAGATTTCTGCATCTATGAATTCATAAGAAACATGCAACTTGGGAGAATTCAAGTTTGATCAGAACATATTGTCAGGATCTCGGGTTCAAACTGAAAACCGCAACAGATCATGGGACGATTTTACTAGTACACTTAAGTCATAAATCAAAAAATCTAACTTGGTCATATCAAAAAAAAAAATGGAAACAAAAATGAAGACTTATCATTTGGATCATATATCTCAACAATTTCCCAAAAGGCTAACTGGTAAGATGCTCTTGTGTGTTGCACTCTGTGACCAGAACATGCGCCCTCGTGTATAATCTGCGGTAGCTGCTAAAACTGCTTAGACATCAAGTCATGTCATGCTGTTTTCTGATTTACCAGACTGAAAAAAATGCTGAAGATTGAATGTTGGCTTTATGGGAACTAACCTCACCTCACCTCTGAAACAAAGTAGCTTCTATCATTTGGGAAAATAAAATTATATAGAACTAATATAGCTTATACTTGTCATGTGTTTCTGTTTCTCAGATGGACCCTGTCCAGAAGGCTGTGATCAACCACACTTTTGGTGTTCCACAGCCACTCAAGAAGAAACAGATTATCTCCTGCAACATTTGCCACCTGCGCTTTAACTCGACGGTAAGACACGCTGCATTGGCTTTATGTTTCGGTGTTTATGAGGAAGAAAGAGATAATGTTGGACTACAAGGCAGGGAAACAGACAGTACGCCAGACTGTGTAATTTAAAACATAAAAGCACACTATACTAGAAAGTGAGTCTGGCCTCAGAGAAGATTGTTTTGGGCTTCTGCTATCTTCTTGAATTTATGTCACGATCAGCATTTTGGTTTTAGTTTGTTATGTTTAAGACCTTGAGGTTTTCTAAGTTCATTCTATCATGCCTAGGTTGTCATTATAGTTCTTTGTTTGTTAGTTTCCCTTTGTGTTTTCTACCCCTGTATTAAGTCTCCCCTGTCCTATGTGTTTCATGTCTGCATGTCATTTGTTGTTCATGTTGTCATGTCTGTCTCATTGTATTTGCTGTTTTAATTTGAAAAGGTCATGTGTTCCTGTGTTCATTGAAGAGTAGAAGTTTTACTCTTCTACTGCATGTCATTATGTTCATTTGTGTCAGCTGTTTTTCCCCATGTGTTTCCACTTCCCCTGATCACCTCCTGTGTGCTTTTAGTCTGTGTGTGTTCATTCATGCCTTGTCCGAGCGTCTGCTATCCTACCTTGTCTCCATGCCGTGCCAGGTCTCTATGTCTATGTTCCAGGGGTTTTGTTTTGTTATGTTATGTTTAGCTCAGCTCAGCTCACCCAGTTTAGGTTATAATTCAGTTTTGTCTTTGCTTTAGTTTTTCTTTGCTAAAATCAGCCTTCAATAAACGGCTCGTTTCCAGTTAATATTAAGTCTTGTTATTTTGCGTGTACGCACTTGGGTCCAACCTCTCCACTCCCTATAGTCTGCCTCTGCCAGACTGTGACAATTTAGTTCTTATTATCTTTCTGCAATTACCTCAGATCACTGCATTTTTGCATGCTGTGTGCGTTTGTGTGTCATCTGTGTGTGTATAAGGAAATGCGAAAAAGGTCTGAGTGTTTCCCTTTCTCCAAATGATTGTATATTTAAATGAAAAATTGGTCATTTGATTTTTATTTCTATGTAAAAGTTTGTTCGGTTTTGCTTTCTTGTGAGTTGTTTTGGTATGAGGGATTAGACAGCAGGGAAAGCTGCCGTTTATCAGCAAAGAGCAGAAACAATCAGCCGCCACAGCAGGAAGCAGCATTCTCGGTTCCCTACTCCATTTTTGCCACCCTCGCTAAAGCACATGGATATACACATACATGCACACACAAACGTGCAGACTAGATTGCATGCACACAAACACAGAAAAACATCCCATGACATTTTATGCATATTTACATAAGCAAGAAAATGTCCAGAAAGCCAGAAGACTTCTTCGGTCTCGGCACAGCTAAGCGCACACACTCGCTGTCACACACTTTTATTTGGACTCCATCTTCAAAGAAGGTCTGAGGCACAGGAGACAGGGAGCTGAGGGGGGAGCAGAGATGCAGTCGTGCTCTTCACACACTAGAGCAAATCCCATTCCCTGCCTCCGCACACCGACTTAAAGAGGAGTGTCAGGTCTGACTGTAGCTTTATCAGTCTCTCAGAGAGCATGAATACTTTTCTAACACTTCCATGCACCCTCCTTAGAGTTTTCTCAGATATTATACCAACTTATCCTTATGCATAATGCTCAAAGGGGAAATAAGTAAGCTCACTTTGCTGCTCAGTAGAGCACAAATAGACCTTAAAGAGCAACTTAACACCAGCTGACAATCTTGTTTTTAGCAATTCCTCAGTGGTTCGACCTTTCACCCACCTGAAGTGATGCAGAGGTGTACTCTGGGGTGTATCTTTGATGGATGTTTCCAGGTTTCTAGTATTTGTGCTAAGCTTATAGGCTAACCAGCTACTTGTCCTAGCCATACAGACAGATATAAATTATGGGAAAAAATCTGATGATGAGGCGATGTTGTGCAACCAGATGGGGGGAATGTCACTGGCATGGTTATCCCTGTTGGGCCAGTGTAACAGCCCTTGGTAACATTTTATGTGGCCCAAAACTATAAGCACGATTGTATGTTTCATTCCACAACAGTAGTAGTAGTGCAGAACAAGAAAGCATTTCTCTTCAATTTAAACTCTTCTGTTATGTATTTTATAACCCTGAAATGTAGAGCTGGTGTCAAAGAATGTAAAAACCACCACAGAAATTTTTGATGATCTATAAACCACCTGAAAAAGGACCGTACCAACATGAACCAAAATAATTTCAAGAGATTAATAACCAGTGGGGGACTGGCTGTTGGGAGCGCTGACAGTCAGTCTGTTGGCCTGAGAGTTGGTTTGGCCTTGAACTTGAGCAGCAATTTTACAAAAACAATCATTTGGTACAAGACGCACATTAGATGCAGTTCTGTCACTCTCACCTATACACTGTATGATCTTGCCACAGGATCCATGGCACGCAGGTGTGCACCTTTGTTTCGACAGGCAAGCCTGTCTATGTTAGACAAGTCACCTAGTGTATTGTTAAAGGAAAGGCTGGATAGACATGGCGAGACTACAAAAACAGATAAATACATGTACAGGGACCAGGTTATTCAGAAATTCTAGCATAAACAAAACTTTCAGAATTCAGCCAAAGATAGGCTACTTAGTCACAATTTTTAAAATTTGTAATAATTATAATTTTCATATACAAATATAGTGGAGAAATGTCAGACTTCTGAAATATGTGTTAGTAGAACATATAATAGACTAAAATATCTATATATGTTCTTTTTCTGTACAGTTTGTACAGAACAGTACAGAATACAAACACAGAATACAAACACTCGCACCATATTTCTTTTTAAAGACATGCCTCAAAGGGTAAATCATCACTTTTTCTGGTGACCCCATTTTGCATAAAAATATTTCTATTTTCATGGCTCTGGTCACCTTGAGGATAAGAAGAGGTTCCATCCGTAAGGCATGAGGGGTCACTAAGCGTTATGTGAGCTTATAAGTTGTTGTCACCAGATATAAATCCAATTGACACACAGAAAACCAGCAACTTCTTATGACATGTTTTTGTCACCAGTCTCTATTGAAATGAGAGTAGAATAAGTCTCAGTTGGCAAGAAGTCAAAAAAGTTCATTTCCCAAAACTGATTTAGCTATTATAGTTTTTTTTCAGTGTATTTGGACCATTAATTGCTTCTACTGAATTTTTAACATTATTTGTTTTAAGTACTATACTAAGTATATTGGTGAACTAATATACTTGATCACACAGCGAAAAGTTTTTTTAAAAAACAAAGGGGTGGTAGATGTTGTTCATTTACTAAAAATGTGTCGTTTTAGCCCATTGCTAGGTGGTTGCTAGGCAACGTGATAATGTCACAATATATAATGTATAGTTCAACTTTTATGGACATAGAAAAGGTCTTATTATTGTGAAATAAAAATGATAGAATGGATTTCTAAGGTATTATAGGTGCATAAATGCACAAACAGGTCACTTTAGCCTGTTGCTAGGAGGCTGCCAAGCCAAGTCATAACATCCGTTATAGCTAAGAACCTCCAGGGGTGTAAGATGTTTGTGTGGTTACTTTCGATGCTTAATTCCTAATGGTTTAGGTGGAGTTCATGGACAAAGAAACAAACAATTCTGGTCTAGATTGAGGAGGAGAAGGTCATAGAGAATAAAGAGTTTACAGTAAAGTTTGGTTTATATTACTTGTGTAATGTTATTGGAAGGTGAGGGTACTGAAAGTGTGGAGAATAATTGCTAAAGATGTTTTATATCCTTCTTTGTGTTTGCCATATAACATGTTGTCATTTTACAATAAGATTGGGCTGCCTGCAATGTTCCCTCTAATTTTTCATGTGTCTGAGCGAACACACAAACTCCCTGAGCGGTCCCTTGGACCACTGTGAGCAACAGCAGACGTGTGCACTGTGGTCATGCCAGCATCGAATCCATCCAAGTTACATGGTTTATTAAAATAATCAAATTACAGCATTTACATTTATGTTAGAATACTTTTAATTAACTGCTTTAGCCCACTTACAATGAAAATGTAAAAAATCGTGTTCATGACCTGTGTAGTATGTTAACACTATTGGAAGTAAAAATAACTTGAACTCCAATTTTGAAAACACAACTTTTTTTTCTTTTCTTTTTTTGCTCTGACTTGTATTATGACTATGAGTCTGTGGTCTGGGAGAGAGTCCTGTAACTCTCTGTCTGCAAAATACAGTATATAATGACCAATATTGGGCAATTAATTATATAGTTACTTATTCAAAAAAGTTACTGAGTTTTGCAAACAACAACGTTTTTTGCAGCTGTTTACCTAAAAATGCAGCCAAGGCGGTTTTTTAAATAAACATTTCAAAATATTTACAGAACAATCAGGTGTTCTGCATCAAATTTGATGCCACACAAATTATTTATGACACTCCAACACATAATTTCTTTCCACTATGAGATAAAGGAGAACATCCCAAGCCTGATACCTGCAGGCCTGACAACAGGAGATGTATCACTCCTGTAACACCTGTAACATTCAGCAGTCGCCTCATCGTTCTGACACACACAACAAAACTATTGACTACACTACACACTAACTACACAAGATTTGCGCTAAACGTCGCAAATCTCTCACATCTCAAAACACCGCAGTCACTCCTAAAACTTCCCTCTTCCTAAACAACTAAATGCCATATCACTTTTTGATTGGTCCACATAGTACATTTTTCCACCAATAGGAAAAGCTGGGAGGGGTTTGCTCACAGGCGGAGAGTGCTTTTGAGCGTTTTCCTTATAAAACACCGTTTTTACAGTTTCTTCCCGCAGTAAATATAAACAACAATAGTATTCAGGAAGAAAACCAAACATTGCATCTATTTTTTATCATAACTATGGTTTTACGTGGCCTATCAACACATTTTAAAAACTGTTATAGTTTTTAAACACAATTTAAAAACTGTTATAGTTTTTAAATTGTGGTATAGTCCACACTCTTTCCGTCAATTGTTCCGTCTGTCCTGCTCACATCTCCAATGGTTGTACACGTTGTCATTAACGTGGCTTCACTCCACATCAGCCACGCCGCTTTGCTAGCTAAAACACCGGTGTCGGCACATAAGGACGCTGTCATAGCCTGTCGACGTTGATTAGCTGCATATATATGAACGTGAAGAGCATCATTGGCTGGACTATGGGATAAGGTGGCATCGTTCTAATCCCATACTGGAGCAGCCAGTCACTCACTGACTAACACTGCAAAAGAGAATTGTTAACGTATTTATTTTAATTTCAATTCAGGTTAGATTTTTTTTTTTTGTGTGCAACACAGATTTTCTGTGCGCAGAGACCGTGCCAGCAGTGCACAATTGTGCACGTGCCGAAGCTTAGAGGGAACATTGGCTGCCTGTATTTATAAATTGACCCTATACTTGTAATTTAAGGAAATAATGAAAAGTTAATTCATCAATTTAATGAAATGGGGGAGCTATGCATTTGCTGAATTAAACAAACCAACTGGCAAAACAACTTCACTTGTTTGTCAGTTTCCTTTCCTACAAGAAAGTCATTATTGGATGAGACAATTTCGCAGTATTTCAGAGCTATGGGATGGGGCACTTTTCACACCCCCACAACATATGTCTGGCAGAATATAGCCTTGTGTTTCCTTTTATCGCAGCGATTTCTTAATCACGGGACATTTTTGAATCTCTTTGAAGAAACTGTATCTCCCTGTAGTCTCGCTGCTGGGGTGGTGAAAACCAAAGCTCATTTCACACCTTGTCCTTCAAGCCTCCACTGAGTCTCAGTTGGATGGAGAAGCAAATGGTGGAGGGCTCACCAGCAGAATTCGTCAAATCAAGCTGTGAAGCCAAGCACTGAAGCCTTTTCACTGCAAATCAGTCAGACAACGTGCTGAGGTATTTGAGTTCCTTTTACAGATCTTTTGACGGACACGTTATGGTGGCTACGCATACATGGTTAACGCTCTATAGTCCAACTTCTGTTGTGGTTGTGTATGTGTGTGCCACTGACCTTATATCTCTGCCACGATACTGCATAAGCAGTAAACTTAATTATTGCTTATGGCAGTGACTCGCAATCAGTGGTAGAAATATCCCAGGGGGAGTTTTGTTGCCACAGGGTATATGCAAAGATTTGTTCAACTAATCCAACAAAAAAATAAAATAAAAGTATAAAACTGAAATTATAATTTTAATTAAAGAACTGAGTGGACCTGAACAGGCTGGAGAACAAAAGTTACTGTTCATTAAAATTAATGAATAAGCAGTTGAAACAGACAGCCAAAAGGAATGCATAAATGAATAAACAAAAAAAGCATTGGTCAAAAAAAATTAATAAATGATTGAAAGTAGGACTAAAACCAAAGCAGTTGAAATTAAGAGGATGCATAAACAGTTGAAATATCTTGTTAAACAAAGATGTTAAATATAGTAGCAGGGAAAAATAGAGGTCAATGATGAAAATGGTCCGCTGGAATTTATTGATTAACAGTTGATGGTATCCATGTAATTGCTAATCCAGCTAATCCAGGTAAAGATTTGTTTGGAAGAAATACGTAGCTAAGAATAACTGTAAAGACTTGAAATCTTTAAAAGTGATACATTGTTGAAAAAGCCAAACGTAATGGATAACTTGGAAAAACAAACACTCACCAGATGCTTTATTAGGTACAGCTTCCGAATACTGGGTTAGACCACATTTTGTCTCATAACTGCCTTTAATTCATCGTAGCACAGATTCAACAAGATGCTGTAAACATTCCTCAGAGATTTGGGCACATACTGACAGTTGCTGCAAATTTGTCAGCTACACATCCATGTTGGGAATCTCCTGTTCCCTCTCATCCCAAAAGTGCTCTGTTGGATTAAGATCTGGAAACTGAGGAGGCCGTTTGACATGGCGTGTTATCCTGCTCAAAGTAGCCATCAATAGATGGGAACGCTGTGGTCATTAAAAGGTCAGTATGATCAGCAAGAGGATTCATAGACATTTGCGTGTAAATAATGCACGACACCACCAGCAGAAGCCTAAGCCACTGATACAAGGCAGGACGCATCCATGTTTTCATATAGTTTATGCCAGTTCTGCCCCTGCCATCCAAATGTAGCAGCAGATATAGAGAGTCGTCAGACCAGGCGATATTTTTGTAATCTTCTATTATCCCATTTTGGTGAGCCCATGCAAAATGAAACCTCAGAAGTGACACCCAGTATGGTCTTCTGCTGTTATAGCTCATCTTCAAGGTTGAACATGCTGTGCATTCGCTCATGCTGTTATGCTTTCTTTAGTTATCAGGAGTGTTATTTGAGTTGCTGTTGCTTTCAAAGCAGTCTGTCCTTTCTGGTCTGACCTCTGGTATCCACGAGACATTTTTGCACCGAGAACTGCAGTTCTGACCATTCTTTGTAAACCCCACAGCTGGTTGTGTGGGAAAATGCCGGTAGATCAGCATTTTCGGAAATACAGCATGTCTGGGAACAACAACCTGGCCATGCCACTTTTGAAGTCACTTAAATCATTTTTTAACTGTCCTGATGCTCAATTTAAATTTTCTCCAGGTCATCTTAATCATGTCTACTTGTCTAAATGCACGGAGTTGCTGCCATGTTATTGGCTGATTAGATATTTGTGTTAACAAGCAAATGAAATTAAATGACCGGGAGTGTATATATCTTAGTTGGGTTAATAATTAGCTTAAATCCAACTGAAATAACATTGCTTGTTCTGCTGGATGGAAAAACACTTTAACAATATCCACTTATATATGTTAATAACAGTTGGTGGCAAAGGGGTACTTGATTCCATCTGAGAGGCCTGTGGGATACATCAGATGAAAAAGGTTAGGAACTGCTGGCTTAGGACTAATCTATTGTTCATTCTCAGGTAATCGGTTAAATCAGCATTTTGATCCTATTGAAAAGGCCTTAATGAGATTACAAGTCTCATATCTTCTTGTTGCATGTATTTATTTCTCACTAAGGAGTCCTTCAGATAAATGTCAGCTCTCTTTTCATGCAAGTTGTTTAGTACCTGAGGATTTGCATGAGTTGTTTCTTCAGGAAGTGTTAAATTAGAAGCTTAAGAATAAAGTTTGATGTGTTTGAGAAACAGCTGCATCATACCGTGCTACAAAAAAGTGTGTTTGGAAATGTTCGCATTTTTTTAAAAAATAGGTGTTTTTGTGATTTGTATTTAATTTGTGTAAATTCCAATTCATGTATGTTATTTGTGATTTTCTCTCATTATGGGTCTGAAATCTTCCCTTCTGTACCTACGTTCTATCCAGACTATGCTCTGAAGAGAATTTATCTTCTCTTTTAATGAGTGATCTCTTTATCGATTTCTTTTCTTTTCGTATGTATCCATGCTTACTCTGACAACAGGGGCTTTGTTCTGGGATTGAACCGAGGTCGTGAGAGTGATGCAAATGGGAAGGTAAATCCGCCCGGAGAGAAACTTGCGTGTTTATTGCTGCAGCGCAGTCAGTCAGAATGTGTTTTGCGTCTGATCCGTATTTGTGGGTTTGTGCGTGCTCACGAGCGCTCAGATGTGTGTGACATTAGCGTATACTGCCAGATGCGTCCAGGTTTTGCAGAGGCTGATTCTCACAGTGAGGATTTATAGGCTAGTTGTAGAGATGGAATCCTCTCTCTTGTTGCATATTGCACATGCAATTATACCTCTGGCCTCCCAACGTGCCAGCACTGTTATCAGGTAGAAACAGACTCCACTCTTTGCCGCCCGCGTATGCCTGTGAGAGAGTGAATATTCCAGGCGTGCATTTTAACATTTATTGCACGCGAACTCCAGTCTTTCTAGCAGATTATTCATGAAGTAATTTCTGATTTTCCTTTTTGCCCTGTTTTTGTCTCATATTCCCACAGAACCAAGCAGAGGCCCACTATAAAGGTCACAAGCACGCGCGTAAACTCAAAGCCATGGAGGCCCAGAAAAACAGGCAGCGACGAGCTGGGGAGTCCTCATCCACAGGGCGAGAGCGAGACCGAGACAGAGACCGGGAACGAGAGCGGGACATAAGCAAGACATCTACATCTGAGGCAGCCCTTCCCACACTTATGGATACTTGCTTAGAGGAGGGAACAAGTAGGTATAGTGGCAGAAAGATGGGACGAAGGCATCTGCAAGAGTGTGCTATTTGTAACCGATCCTTCTCCAATCCTCTCCACCTTCTTGATATCACTCTATCACGCTTTGATTCCTCTAACTCCTCTTCTGCTCCATTGCATCTTTCTAAACCCCATCAACCAATCTGCTTCTCACATTATTGACAGTTTCCATCCCCCTCCATATCTTGGCCACCTTTATCCCTTTCTCTCAGCTCCAGTGTGTTACACTTTGAGATTATATCTTCTGTACACCTTATCCCTCATCCTCTTGGCCTCCTATCCCCACTATAAATTCAGACCTCTGAAATTGTAACTCACATTTTTTCCCCTAGAACTTTTCTGAACTGGTCCTCTGTCTTTGTGCCTTGTGATGGATGGAAGGCTCAGATGCTATGGGAATGGGGAAAAATCTGGGATAAAGAAATGCTGTGTAAATACAGGGGCAGACTGGGATCGATCAAAGCCTTACTGGGGCCATTTTTACCCCCTTTGCCTCGACTGCTTGACTTCACCTCAGTTACTCTATGCTCTCTTCTCTCAATCTCAGTTAGATGCAGAGGGTAGTTACAGAACCAGAATTGGTGTATCTGTGCAGCATGAAAAGAAAACCATATATTGCTGGTTGAGAATTGAGAGGGTTCCAGATTGTGGTGAGAGCATTCATTTAATGGGCTGTCAAATAGAAAATAAAGTTAGAAGACATCAAAGGCACTTATCTTCTTTTACAAAAAGTTCAAATGTTTTCACACTGGCAGTGTAAATATAGACATTTTAACTTGTGATAAAGGAATAGAAGTGCATTGGTTTTCTTTCAACAGAAAATGAATGTTGACTTTTTCTCACCGCACAGCTGCAACTTTACCTCAGAGAGCATGAATTGCTCCGGTGGCATTTTGACTCCAGAGTGAGCCCATTACCATCTCATGTTGCTCTTGTCTAGGTCCACACTTTTCATTTATCCATCACAGCTGATGGGAATGGAGAAGAGCCAGAGCACTTTTCCCCCCTCTGTCTTTTAGATTTTTACTTTCCTCCCCTAGAGAAGATCACTGTCTAGGCAGAAATTCAAAATACTCTTGGATGCTAGATGGAATATCAGAGACGAGATATGAAGGTGCTGGGGTTGGAAAGAGACTTTTTCCACTTTATCCCATCTGACAGACATGTCCACATGCACATGAACACACATACACACACACTTTTTTTTTGCCTGGAGCACTTTTTGAGTCTCCTTCAGAAAGGAGAAAGTGGACAAAAGAGTAGAAGCCTGATAACGCTCTCATCAAATATCATTTTAATATTCCGCTGTTGCAAAGGAGAGCTCTGAAAGAGGAATGCAACAGCAGAGACGAAATGAGATGATGAGTGGGAAATGAAAGATAAGATGAAATGAATGAAGAACACTGAGGGAAAAGGGAAAGAATACGAGAAAGAGAAAGAACATGGAGGAGGGGGTCAGTGAAGAGAGAAAGTACATAAGTCAATGCTAGTTTTTATGCTGTGAATAATTTTGCAGTTCTAAAGCAATTTTGTGAGGAGGAACACTCTTTAATAAGCCCAATTGTGTGATTGGCCTAATGTGAAATTGAAATGCAGCAGTGCGAGCCAGTGCTGGCATGCACCACAATGCCAAACTGTAATGGAATAGTGCTCCAAATTAACACTCTATGAAATGAGTTATATCTGCCATGAAAGTAAAGGCTGGTGAGGAGCTGTCTGAGGCTAATGCCCACATTGTGTGCCATCAGGAGCCAATAACACACCTGTCTGCTATTCTTAGCACTCTGGCTCCCTGGCTCAGAGTAAACAGATTTCTTCTCAACCCACAAGGTCAGCCTCCTCAGCCTCATTAGAAAATGCCTATATGCACATTTAGACACTGTAGACATTTACTACTCGTGCGCCACCTCTCGACATCAGCACTGGATGGGGTTCAAAGTGTATATTAAACACAAGATGTTTTCCAAGAAAATTTGGAGAATTGCCACCATGGAGTGGTGTGGGTAATTAAAGTTTAAGCCTTTTCACAGCACAAATAAGAGAACCAATAATAGCAGGACACATGCATTCATAATAGTATAGCAGGGTGAGACATAAATGCATGCTTCGGTAACCATCCCACAACATGTTGGTTTCTTTAAAGTCTGACCACCTCATCTAGTTGGTAATTATTGTAACCATGATGACAAAGGTCTTCTGAGGATAATGAAGTACTGCTTTTAACCCGAGCCACAGTGTTGTGATTTCATTGTGTAAATCTAGCCATAATTGTGTGAGTTCAGAAAACAGTGCAGTTAGGAAGGCAATGACAAACAATGTTATTCTGTAGAATGAAATTATATTTGTTGTTTAGAGGTGCAGTGACAAATATTGTACAACTTTGCTTTCAAAAAGTGCTGTGAAATGTTGATTAAAAACAGAATGCAATAATGTCCCAGTCTTTTAAAAGCAAAAATATTAGATTTCATAAAAACAGCTGAAGTTTAGTCAGGAGCAATGAAAATTGGAAAAAAAAAAAAATGTGTGATGCTAACAAAAGACGCCTTGTAGAACTTCACACAGCCATTTGTGTTAAGTAATGTGATTGCCTATTCAAAAGAGCGCATCACAGAGAGGCTGAATCTTTCAAATGTAAAGATGGACAGGGATTCACCTCTGTGTGAAAGAGAGAGCTTGAATTTCAGTGAGGATTTCATTATCACACAACATTAAAAGATTCATAGACTCCATAGAAATCTCTTTATGCACGGATAAGGCCAAAAACATATCCAACTGGATCATGGCTTGAGGGCATTCCGAGCCAGTTTATCATTTACAAAACAAGTATTAAAAAGAAAAATGTATGAAAAACATATCTATAAACTCTTAGGAAAATGTATTTTGTCAAAATGTGGGTTTCTTTTCATGACTTCAAATGATCAAAAGTGCTCTTCTTGCTTACAAAAATTTAAATTTCTTTCACTTTAAAACAAACTATCCTTTCTTGGAGGGAACCTCAACAGTCCATACATTCAGAAAGGACAGGGAGTTGTACAAAGGGCACTAATCGATGCTTATAAACCATGTCCTATCCTAACAAAGGGCAGCGACTGAGCAAGTGAAGAGAGCACCAGCCTGGTGCTAAGAGACAGAGAGCCGGCATCAATCATGACAAGCATCAATCACCTTTGGCTTTGATTGACTCCACTGTTGAACCCGTCTTTGCTGGGACTATGTCTGTCACCAGTAATGATGATTTAAAGGCAAGAGTTTTCCCCAGAGAAGTTGTTTATGCTCTGAAGCTGCCTTGAATCAGCACTTGCCTGCTAAATCAAGTGCTCGGCGCTTGTATGTGTAAGAGAATTTGTGTTTAATGACGCCAGTATCCATATTTTTTTGTTATTTTGGCAGTGGTTAAAGTTCTCAGCGGATCAGTCTGCTGAATTGAGAGATCTAAAAGCTATTAAAACCTGTTTTATTAAACTAGACTGTCAAAAGATTAACTATTTAATAGATTAAGTCCTATTCAGGTTAAAGAAATATGATGATTACCTGCATATCAGTGATCCATAATTTGCTGCTCTGTAGTTCTGCTCCACAGAAGGCCTGCTAAGAGCGAGCCTTTGATCTGATATTTCGCTAGTTTTGGTCTCTGTTTATAATGTAAACAGTCAGAGGACAAATGGGACAAATGACAAGGAGACACAAAAGGCATTTTTGGATGTGTGGCAAAGTCATGGCATTAATATAAGGAAATACTGCTCATCAAAATTGTTACAGGTACCATTTGGCACATCCACCTGTTATTAGATGCACATTGGACAGATTCACAGATTCACTCATGGGGCTAACACAAAGATGCTAATTATAGTATGCTCTATTCCACACCTACAAACAGTCACCAATTAATCAATCATAAATTTCACTATGCTGTAGAAGGAACCTGGCACAAACCCACACAGGGAACATGCAAACTTCAGATAGAGACAAGATTCTTCAAACCTACATTAGTCTTGCTGTGAGAGGGTAATACTAACTACTGTCCCACCATGCCACCCCCTAGTCAAATCTGGATCTAAATATTTCATTTGTTAAATTCGACTTCTTCAGCATTTTATTCTTTAGGTGCCAGAAATCTAGTTAGTTTGTTTTAATAAATTACCAAAATGGGCACCAGTTTCATGTTGAATAATTGCATGAATTCTAGACTTATTTCAGCGCTAATGGTGGAAGAGTAAAGGTTTTCTTAGCTGTTGAAATGTAGTGTTTCTAAAAATGGAGATCTTACCCCTGCCGAAACTCAGCAGGGGTATTTGATATTCATCCAGCAGCACAGAGTGAGGTACCTCATGATCTAAATCCTTGGATTTTTGAGGGCTTTGATTCCCACCAACCTCCATGTCTTCCTCTGCTTAATCCACTGATCAGTATCACTCCCCTCTAGAGACTTCTCAGGTGGCCCAGTCTTTCACCAACACTCAGGATCATACCTGCCCCCACCCCCCTCGAGAGGAGCTCAGATCCCTCAAGGGTCACTCCCATTACACCAAGGGGACTGTCTAATCTTGCTTCTATATAGTTTCTTTTTCTTTAGTAGTAATGAGAAAAGAAGACCCTTATCTCCAATGATGAATTTACTCTGGGACGTAAAAAGGAAAAATCAATGGAGCACAGTTGCACGGAGGGTGGTGGTGTGTGTGTGTCTGTTTGTTTGTGTGTGTGTGTGTGTGTGTGTGTGTGTGTGTGTGTGTGTGTGTGTGTGTGTGTGTGTGTGTGAGCTTAGAGAGAGAGAAAGACCGAACACTCTCCAAATGAAATGGAGATATTCATTGAGCGTAGCACACAGTGCTCTGGGGTGAAGTGCGTGACTCCCTCGGGAGGGCCATGGGGTGAAGGGGAGACGTGTAATGGAACTCCAGTTACTTATGGGGCCAGCAGTCGATGGGTTTGTTTATTTTGACTAAGACTCCAGGTCCACTTGATATTTGAATGGAGAGGGAGAACGAAAAAGGGGAAAGAGAGAAAGAAGAATGGGAGGAGGCTGATGGCATTTACTTACCTAAGCCAAGTGTAATCCAGTCTGTTCCACATGATTTAAAACAAAAGCTGATACTATATCAGAGAATTCCTCAAGGCTACCACATGATAGGTTCTATTAACCTGGCTTTCATCACTTTATCATGAAAAAAATGTTTCTTTGAAGATTTTCATCTGGTGACTGTATATTCCTGTTCGTTGTATGTTAGGTTTTGTGCGCGTATGATTGTTTTTCAGGCAGTATCATGCTCTGTAGAGATTATATTAATTCTGATCAAACAGCTTGTAGTCAGCCCAGGAAATGATACTTTGCAAATGCAACTATTCATTACAAGTTTAACAAGTAATTACATTTCCACTTTTTAGGCTTCATAGGAGTGTATGGGTAGGTTCTAACCAATTAGACCTCCAAATGTCACATACACTGTACTTTAGACATAGAGGAAGAAATAAACAAGGCAATAAAATTGAAATAAACTTCTATTTATTTGTTAAAGGGTGTCCACACAGTAATAGGCTACCAATGTCAATGAATTTCAGTGAATTATGTAGTAGTGATGTCAAGCAAAATAATAACTAGTGATGCAATATGTTCATGACGAACCATCAGTGATATTTGTTCTTTTTGGCCAATTGCTTCAAGCTAATGTGAACAAAAAACAATCTCTCCACTAAGCTCAGAGGGATTAAACTGTATTTGTTGAATACTGTTAAATAATAATAGTCAGCTATTGTTCTCTTTCCGTTCTTAATGTTTTTACAGGTCTTCAGTCTGATCTAGAATCAGCCAACCTGGAGGTGAAGCCCGAGGAGAATCCCAAGAGCTCGGTTATGCTGACACCTGTATCTGAGGTTTCTTCTATGGAGCTGGTCACTCTTTCCCCCCCTCAGATTTCGCCTTCTTCACAGCTCTCTGAGACAGCTTCAGACACCAGTGCCCCTGAAGTCCCAGACGCTGTGGGATCAACCAATGAGTCAGGCATTCGTGCCGACACATCGAGCACAAATGGGGTGCCTGGTACAGATGATGACAAAGACCCCAAGAAGAGCAAAGCTCACCTCCATTGTCCTGTTTGTAAAGTCACAGTAAACTCAATCTCCCAACTGGAAGCACATAACAGCGGTAAGAGCGTGATGTGTGACCTTGAGGCTTGCACTTTTTTTCTTGAAAACAGAAATGTTCTGAAATCTTTTTTCACATTTTCAACATTTGGTTCAGTGTTACCAAATGATATACTCACACTACAACCTACCTGCCAACTCTCTGCTGTCTATACTAGGTACAAAGCACAAACTGATGCTGGAGGGTCACAGTGTTCTGCCACGACGCAGGGGCAAAGTGGTGGCAGCTCGTGCAGGCTGCAAGAGTAAGCGGCTGGGCAGCAAAGGCAGCGTTGGAGTTCCCAGCAAGAACTTCCAGTGTGAAGTGTGTGAGATCTTTGTGAATTCTGAGACCCAACTGAGTCAGGTAAAATAATTACTAATGTATCATTTACACCTTTTGCCCTGTAAAGGAGGTACTGTTCACATCGCATAAGAGTTGGCATAAATAAAAAGAAACGTATTTAACACGAGCACCACAAAGGGCATCACAGGTTTCTGCTGTTATGTAGGAGGGCAGGGGGACAAAATTCAAGATCTAACACTCTCAGACTTATTTATCCTTCTTGTGTGGTATAAAATGAAATATGAGGAGGGAAACATGGGCTTGGGAAAGTCCTGCAGGTTTCTCAATGCATACTAAGTGAGAATCTTGCTAACCTGGTAGGATTTTGTTCAAAAGGACATAAGAGTGCTATTGACTCTGCAGGGAAAAGCACTCTAGCCCAATCATGCCACTCGGATAAAATGTTGCATACTGTATAATTACTTCACATTCACAGACAGATGATGTGGCCACAGAATTAATTAGAAAACAAAAGTGTCTGCACACACAATTACCCCAGACACCGAGGGTTTAATATTACATATTGAACTTAAATCACATTGCCCTGTAATGTCACAGTTATAAAAGCTAAAAAAAATGATGTGCATTAAAGTGATAAATATGAATAATGAGATTTTAAAGACATTACTCGATCCGGGAGACAATTTTAACGTCACCTTGATGGGGGAAATCTGCAAACTTAAATCAAAGCTGCTTCATTTACGGATGCATGAATCAAGCAATTGAAAGGAGGTTGTAAGTGCAGAATACATTCAAGCTGTTATTTTTACACAGATACCATCTGATGCTTTAACTAACTCCTCATTGAGCAATTATTTACCTCTCATTATTGCAAAAGCTTTCTCTATTTGCTCTGGTTATACCAACATCAAACCGGGCTGAGATTGAATTTCTCTGCGTTTGATGTTCATTTACTGCTACATCTTGTGTCGTGGACTGTATATGCTGGAGTGGAAAAGATGCAGGATATGCTGTCATGTGTCAGCACCCAGACTGCTTTAGCCTTAAATGCATTTCACCAGTCTTATATAAACCTCTATCCCATGAGGACGTACCCTTTAAGTACTGGAGACAGAGAAGGAGCGCGGCAGAGGTAGAAAGTAATGTGATGTAATTTCTCTTCACTTCAGTCGTACTCAATGCCTATCCATTATTAATTCAGCAGATAACACTTGAAGTTGTTCCACTGTGGTACAACAGATTCTTGTTAGCTTGCTAATGGTATTTCCGCTGGTCTCAGCAGCACATGAATAGCAGAAGGCACAAGGATAGGCTGGCCGGAAAACCGCCCAAACCCAAATTTACCCCCCACAGCAAGAGCCAGCCAAGCTCCAGCTTAGCGGTAAGTCTCAGCATAAAGACACAGGCAAACAAAACACTGTCATGCAAATATGCACACATACACACACTCAAGGAAAACAAACAAAGCATAATTGCCTTTTCTTACAGCAGATATGCTTGGATGTTCTTCCCAAAACTGGAATAATTTCAGTCTAGCTTGTAAACTAATGCATTTTTAAACAACAGTTTTAATTTTTCTCTGTAACAGTTAACTGATTTGACCCAGGCCCAGACAAACATTCAATGAAAACTGCAAACACGCAGATCACTTTACACAGGGTTCACTCAGGGACTTCAGTGTTTTGGTGAGGCAGCATGCTTGTGTGCCTGCAACTGTCATAGAGGTTAAGCACACTTTTGTACTCAGTAAGTCCCCTACCCCTGAGACAGGTCTAAAATAGTCCCCACTGACCAGCTCTGACAACAGCAGCCTGAATCAGCACTCCAGATTAATCATTTCTCTGCTCCTGTCATGTATACACCTCCCCATCTCTCCTTCTCCTCATCCCCCTCCTCCATCCTACAGAACGTGAGATGGAGTGGCTATGCAGGCGTGGCTGTGTCTGCCATGAAGAAAGCATTCAGCCAGTACAACCTCACCTCCCTCTCCTCGCAGGTCAGTGGCAGGAGAGCCTGAGACTGGGGTTGGATTGGAAGGCGAGACTTGCAGCTGGCTGAACTTTAGGCCTGGCCATGGGCAGGGGATTTAGCAGATCTCACAGAAGTCACGTTTGCATTAAAGGGATGGTTCTGATTTTTTTTTTTTTTTTAAGATTTGTTTCCATGTTTTACATGAGGTGCTACTTATTTAACTAGCTAATGGTGATACCAATATAGCAGATGCCACTAAATAATATGGCTCCCCATGTGGCCAGTGCTATATAGCTATATTGGGCTTATCCAGGCATCTTCAAAGTTAACCCTGTGTTTTCGCTATTGCGCCTTATTCACAGGATAATATCACTATGGCAACATATGCTTTTTGGTTATTTCATTTCATCGATTACAGCGTTCCTTATCGCCAAGACTCATTAATATTGCAGTAATTGTAGCCATCATACCAAAATGATGGATGAAGCATGTTCTGAAATTAAAGTGATTAAAGTTGGTATCATGACGGAGACTTAAATGTTTCTTATCTTGCGACTATTTCAGGTTTTTCTTTTTTAATTGCCTACAATTTATGCAACATCTTGTGTAAATTTCTAAATTTATTTATGATCAGTTTTATTTGCATTTTCTAAATATTACATTCTTACATCTTTAAAAATTGTTTTAAACTATTTTTTTGTATTTAAATGTGTAAATGATTTCTCATTCAAGCTATATCATGGCCAGTGATTAAAGCAATTGACCACTGATTAAGAAAAAAAATAAATCAGAACTATCCCTTTAATATTGGAGAGCTTTAGAGTTACAGCCTCCAGCTTAACCCTTGTCCTGATGAAAAAGGCTGAAGTGCATCCATGCTGTGGTCCTAGATTTCAGCTGTTGTGTACAGATCTATGGAAGTTAGGCACCTCTGAATAATTTAATATTTTGTTGATTTTCAAAATGAAAATAAGTAAAAAAGCAACAACAAAAACCCCCCTCTGCAAAAACACATTAAAAATGAGCATTTTTCAATCGTTAACGCACTGTTATTATTATTTTATTTTGAACATACTTGTGCAGATGTCTCTGAACTTCAACTGACTCTGAAGCAGGTCAAAAATGTCCTTTCAGACTTTAATAAACTCTGTGATTCATCAAAATTCACAACCTGGGGACTGCTATGAAGTTAAAAAAAAAAAAAGTGAAGCTAAAATGAAGCAAATACAGGGACTGTAAAGCGATGTCAGAGCACTTCCAGCTTGCAAGTTTTCTTGTCTGAAATGTAAATTTTTAAAAATGACAGTTGAGGAGAACTTTGGATCTGACGGGAAGAAGAAAACATTCAGATAAATCTTAGGCATAGCAAAACCCTGCAAATGGCTGTAAAGGAGCTGCAGGAAGATTTAGCTGACACATAAATGGCAGTGCACACTGCAGTGTGCAGCAGTCATGAATAAAAGGACCTACATATAGGAGTCAAAAAAACAAAACCTCACCTACACCCATATCACAAAGTTCATTATTTAAAGTATGAAAAGCAACATCTGGATAAGCCAGAGGTTGTTTTTTGGATGTGCTGTAGACAGATAAGGGAAAAGAGGGGTCCTTATGCCGCAATTACCCAAGGATGTCTTTGGAAGGGTAAATAAAGGAGCAGCATTTGATGAAATACTAAAAGCAATGCCAAGGCTTAAGAACAAGGATGGAAATATTCTGCTTTGTGGTTTTGTGACAGCCAGTGGCACAAGCCATGGATAAACAGAAGAAAATATTCCATAAAATGTCAGAAGATTCTGGCTACAAATCTAATACAGTCTGCCAAGAGAGCAAAACTGAAAGACGCTGGCCTTTTCATTAGGACAATAATCCAAAATGTACTTCAAAATCGACCGTGACTACCTAAAGAAATTCAACTTAAAGCTTCTGAAATGGGAATTACCTTTCCCTGACTTGAATATCATAGAAAATCAGTGGGATCCTAAACATGCGTTGCATATTGCAAGGACCGAGGAAGTTATGATAAGTGCCAAAGGTTGTTACTAAGTAATGACGTATAAAGGTTACTGCACCGCTGCACATGCAGATTGCACAGTCTATTATTTTTTAGCTTAATAACATAAACAGTGCTTAAACTTTGAAAACATTTTTAATGTTGGCTGTTTTTGCTGTGTTATTACAAAATATGGATTTTAACTAGAGGTGCCTAATGAATCAAGCCATCAGGAATCCAGGTCTGTTAGTAAGAACATGTACTACTCTGCTGCAGCTCTGTGTGGAAAAAGGGCCATGGCTTTGGGAGACATGTTTGTCCAGTAAACGTGTTCTGTCCTCACTGTGTTCTTCTCTCACTTCTTGCCATTCCCCTTCCTGTTTTCTCCAGACCAAACTGGCCTTGCAGAAGCAGCTGACCAAGAGTTTGACAACTGGCTTCCTGCCCAGCCCCCTCACCCCGCCAACTCTGTGCACAGTGGCAACTAACCCACTGGCGTTGCGCCACCCAGTGGGTACAACCACCTTCATCCAGACCCCATTCCTGGGCCCTGCACTGTTCCGGCCTGCTCCGGGGCCCCTGCGGGCCACACACACACCTATCATTTTCTCCCCCTACTAAAGACTTGACCCACTTCCCATTTGAGCTCCACCCCTGTCCCTTTACCAAATCCAAGGCCCTCCTTAAGTGTGACCCATACAACAAAGGCCACACGCAAACTATGCAGCCTGCCTGACTTAAAATGGAAAGCGTGCACAACTTCAAACTCTCGAAAGGCCATTATGCCTAAGAGCTGTTCTTAAAAAAGGCCAAGATCCCCCATCATGCCTTCTTTCTGCTCCTCTTAAAATTACCCAAGGAGCAGGACAGGCCTCCAGACAGTGACTGGTGAACTGAGGCCGCTTTTATAGCCATTTCATGGGTCAACGTGGTTTGAATTATGAATATTATTGTGTAATTTATTAGAGAACAAATATAGACAAGTCTAGATGTATGTTTAGTGTGGTTGCCACAAAATAAGGTCCCTTTACTTGATGCTCTTATAAAAGATTTTTAACGTATTGGTTTGGAGGTTTGATGAAAGGTCATCATAGGTCATTAAAGCAGCTGATCCCAATCCAGATGGTTGCACGTGCCACTCTCAATGATCAGCGTCTTCAGCGAAGTCGCTTAAAGGATCAACTGAGGTCAAATGCTGAGGTTACGTTGCAGTTGGGATACGGCAATTGTTAAAGCAACTGTCTGGAGAATTACCTCCACTTAACTTTGAGCTTTTATGAAGGATAAAAGTGACTGCTATTTGTGGGTAGAGTGTGAATCAATAACTACATACAGTATACTCATGTGTTAAAACCTCATTAACAACATTTTGCACCTCCAGCCCTCAACCAAATACTGTTTTCCCAGCCCTTGACTCTTACGAATAAAACACGTCTCTCTTTTTCTTTCTGAGTCACAGCCACAGTCATAGCCCTCCAGATTTCTTTCCGTTCCCGTATCCCCAGGATTAAGCAGTCATTACAGTCCAGAAAAGGTCAACCTGTCAACTTGACTTTCTTTCAATTTGCAAATCTGTCTTCAGAATGATTTTTGCCCCAGTGCATCATTCACGCAATGCAACTTGTACATTATGTTCTTGCCAAGCTGGCGGCATGACAACATTTCTGCTGCTATGGATGTCTTATATTGCAAAACGCCATAGTTTCTTTCCCCTCGTGACTGCTGTTCTTCTTTTCCTCCACCCCGCTTTCGTCACCTCGCTGTTGCCCTTGATTTTCTCTGGCGTTATCTCAGCATGAGATGATGAGCAGCAGGGAAAGCAACCCCCCTCCCCCTCCTCCCTCCCCCGGTCACAAGCACAACATCGCACACATAATGAAAACACAATGGATAACTTGAAGACTTGATGGGATTTCAGAGCTTGATAAAAAGTTTGGATGACAGTAGGTGGGGAGGCTGCTCAACCAGTATTTGATTGACATCTTCTTGCAGTGTCTGCACACACACGTGGGCGGGAACAAAGCACAGTGCCATGGCAACCACATTAAAAGCACCTTAAAACTAATTTACCTAAAAAGCAATGGAAATTGTGTTTATATTAAGCTTTTTTTGTGTATGTTCTATGATCCCATGTCAATTTCAGTGATAATTTTTTTGGGAAAAAAAAACAATCAGGTGAGAGCGATCACGTTATGGTTTATTAAGGACTATGATAAGTCTCACATTTAAAGCAATACATTCAATATGTTTATGTTTATGATGTGTTTCCAGTGTATCAATGGCTTTATCTATTCTCTACTGTAAACACCTGTAACGATGTATTATGTATTCCAACACAGCCAAGGGCCAACTCTGATATGTCAGCGAAGAGTCATTTGAAATAATGGGTTGTCCCGGTGCTGCCCTTGATGCTTGATGCTCATGGTCAGTCTCCACATGTTGTGACTGTGGGCTGAGCCGTTCCATTTATAGCTGCTCTTGCGCTGCAGAGAGGGTGCTTCAGCGTCATATGACATTGCTGTTTCACTCTTTAGTGGAGCAGAAGACCCTTTGTATGACTTCCACTGAGCAAAACATTGCCGTCATAGTGAAGTGTTTTGGATAAGTGTCACAAGTGCAACATCAAATGTCATATTGCTGTTTATGCTAGTGTGCCGTCTCCCCCTCCCACCCTGAATATCTGTTGACATCCACCCTTCCTTACGCCAAAATGGACTCTTGACAAGATCTCACGAGGACTCGGAGCGCACACACAAGTCATCCTTCCCTCGGTGCTCATACCAAATCATGTTCTCTTAAATTACAGTAATGGAGCAAATCCTATGCATTTCCCATTGTGCTACACGTGTAGTTGTGTGTGACACAGCAGTGCCATCTGTCGTGAAAACCCTATAACTGCCATGTACTACTAGAGCTTGTGATCCAATGTACGTTTGTGTTGAAGGATCCCCCAAGCCTTTTTTTGGACAGGCAAAGCCACCGGGTCTCCCTCGCCATACTAATATGATTCTCCCCAGTCGCACTACTCAGTGAACCAGCCAGCCTTTAATCTTCACTGTATGTTTGTTTGTTTCTCTCGCTCAGTGGGAACTCTGACCTAAAGAAGTGAAACATTTTCTTAATATAAAGAATCTAGAGAAGGCAAATTATATGTAGAAATCCTAGAGTAACTATAGAGATTTTACCAGAGTTGCTATCGTTATCTGTATCATAAAGAATTGCTATCATATAAGAGAGTAGATTATGTTACCGTAGGCTCATACAGGGAAAGAACAAATGCTTTGCTTTATATTTTGTTTTTTGTTTACATGGTTTTTGCCGAAATGTTTTTTTTTAAAGTACAAGAGAATATTTAAACAAATTTTTTCAGTGTGTTTTTTTTCTCCTTGTTGACAATGACTTAATTAATAATGTAATTTTAAGGCCTTTTCAGATCCTAATGTCACATTAGCCAGGCCTTCTCAGGGGTGACAGGTTGAGCAACTGCTAACATGACCATCCATTCAGGGTATCCCTCCAAAGCTCTAGAGAGCAGGAAACACTGTACAAATGGATGGATTGACAAAAAACAAAATAAAAAAATCTTACAGTGCTGTACATTAGAGAGGAAGGGGTGGATTTTGGAAAATAAAGATTTTAGAACTTTGTGTGTATGTTTTTTAGTGTTTATGGAATAATATCTGTGTGTGTGTGTGTATGCCTCTGTGTGTCTTGGATAAAAATGAAAAACAGAAGCATCCCAGAAGGCAGAACTTTAAATCAGACTGATATTTGAGCAAAAACAATATGTGTGTGGGTGGGCGAAGAAAAAATGGCAGAAAACTCAGGAAGATGGTTGCTAATGATTAAACAGTGACAACACAAATGCTTAGAATTCTGAAGATCAATATTTCACTTACAGTTACATTCCATACAGTTGAAAGACGCTTCAGATGTTAACAAAACACCACTCCTTTTAAACACTCTGCCAACTGAAATAAAAGGTGCAGGTGCAGGTTTTCTGGCTTTTCAGAAAGTGTGCAACACCCTCACAGCATCTGCTCATGTGGTATCCCACAGCTACCAGCTTCTATCCATTTCAGGAACAACTTCTTACAGCTAGACCGGTGACACGAAGTATAGGTGGGAAAGCAAATGGAAACAGTTTACAGCTACTGTGTCTGGGCACTGCTGCATTTGTGGCACGCAGAGGAGCGATAGAGTAATATACCTGAGTGGCTGATATGGTTTAGAGACAAACTAATCTTCTTTATCTTCAGATGAGTCTCCACAGATGGCCAAAATAATACATTGTATTACCTCCAGCAGTTGCGAAAGATTTAATGCCAAACAATGAGTCCTCCTGGATTGTGGAACAGCAGATCACTGCTCTTCCACATTTAATATGTATTTGCCAAAATGATACACTGTTGCCTGTCTGTGCTGTTCTTATTGAAGCCAGCTTTGAAATACCGAAACCAAGCAAAGGAGCATCTGGTCTGGACTCCTCGCGTGAGAGTCGATAATCGTGCATTTAGCTCGGTTTGGTCTGTATTCATTTCTCAGTTTCTTTAATGTTTCATTTCATGAGAAGCCCTTGAATTGTATATTGATGTTTCCCTTTATGCCTCAAGCCAACATGTCAGCCCTTCCTTTGTGGAAACAGCAGATAAGCACAACATTAAGCTGGCCACCTCCTGCCGTGCCAATCAAAGAAAAACCATTGGAGCCTGGCACTTACTAGAGCTCAGTGATATGGCAGAATGATGCGATGACCTTGCTAAGCTGTGACACTGGTGTGTCTGCCATATTGATCCATTATCTTATCTGACTGCTCTCCAAGGAGAGAGTGACACTCTTGTCTCCTGCTGCGGTCAAACACTGCTCCTTCAGTCAAGAGTCAAGCTACACTGCTTCTGTGTGTGTGCATGTGTGTGTGTGTTTATGTAGTTTTGTTTGATTTTTAATCATTTATAAGATGAACATTTTCTGTAAGATTGGCCTTAATATTCTTTCCATGAACAATTATACACGTATCTATATTATTTTAAATAAAAATGAAGATAAATGTAAAATTTCACATAGTTTAACCTGGTTTTCTTGTTTTATTTTGGATTTTTTTTTTTTTTAAATTTACATCCTTCACAGCAAATACCTTTTTTAGATTTTATTACTGCTACAACAATATAATATAGTTTTAAAGACAGGAAATGTGACTTCACACACATTTAAGATGAGAAATTTCACAATCGTCACTAGTCAGAATGTAACACAGAAAAACAGCATATTAATAAATAATAATAAATAATATTAATAAACAACAGATAATCCTGATTATATTCAAAACACTGGGATGCTGTTGTGCTGTAAAATAGAAGCATCAATAGTGCCGTATTGATGCCGCTGTTTGTGGTACAAAAAAAAACAAATGGAGACTAGAGTTTGTTAAGCAGTGGAGTAAATCAATTTGTTCTTCAGCTTCCACTTTACTTTATTGATGATAAATGGTCTTTCTATTGACTGGCGAGACGTTTTGTCCGCTTGTTCCCAAGTGTTCGCCAGATGTGTCAAACACTTCCAACAGACTCACTGAATGCACATAAACACATCGTGGTTTAGGACAAAATACGAAAAACAACCTAGATCTTGTCTTTGCGAGGTTCAAAACGCCTTCAGCCTGACTTATTAAGATGAACTTACCCTGTGCTTTCAGGACAAATGCTCTGTCTCACAAGCTCGTGGGCAGTCAGCACAACAACTAGCATGCGACACGACTGATGGCTTAAAAGCAGCTGATATTTACAGCTAGAAGAAGGTCAGTAGCTCAGAGAATAAAGGTGGCACTGATACATAAACTGCTCGTGTTTACTGCTGTGTGGAATTGTTTTGTTACCCTGGTGTTTCGTGATGGTGAAAATGAAAAGAGCATCAGTGCGGCAGCTTCCATAGTGGAAGTTTTTTTTTTGTTTTTCCTTTGAAAAGACGACGAAATTTAAAATGTTATCTATTTTATGGGTCCCCGTGAGAGCTGGATGCTCAACCGCAATCATGAATCACACTGTCATGCATCAGTAAAAGAGTCAATGGTATTGCATTGCCTTGTTGCCCTGTGACTGTGACTAGCAAGTAAAAATCTTCCCTTTTGAGGTTAGTGTTGTCAAAAGGAGGAAGAACATTCATAAATCATCCAAGCAAGTGACAAATCAATCCTTCCACAGTGAATGTTTTAGAATTTGTGTTGTTAAAATCTTTTTTTCTCTCCCTTTTTCTGTCTTTTATGCGGGTCAATACAGCCACTGAGCTATTACACGGAGAGCCTTTGACAAGAAAACATATTGGCATTTTACAGAAATCTCTTCCTCGCTTTTTGAGCTCAGGGGCATGAAAATTAACACCATTGTGTACTGTCATCGCCCAAATGTATGGTACAATCACTGAACCATTTTGAGTGCAGTAACATTACTGCACTGGATCAATTCTAGGCCATTAAAAAGAACATGATTGAAATGAGATGGTACATGATAACACCCTCAGGGGGAAACTAAGGTGAGTGTAATATAATTTCTTAAATGTTCCACTTGAGGTTTTCTCATTATCTTGCATTAACCTTTCCAGTCAACATGCCTGTTTGGAGCCGGCAGATCATTTCCTTTGCTGAAATTTCCAGACCCTGTCTAACTGACATTGTTTCTGCTAAAACTTCTAAACAACAGAAGAATGGAACAAAATTAATTCATGTTCCAGTAACACTTTTTATCTTTAACTTGTTTTAGCTGTAAAATTGCAGATCAAAATCCACTGTATGTTGGTTTTGGTGAAATGTTAGGGCAATGAACCAGTAGTCATTATTGTCCATGCTGCCCAGCATGGACACTAGTAAATTAAAATATTGTTCCTGGATGGGGGTCAGACTTAATTGGACAACTGACCTACAAGCAGTTTCCTGACCTTCATGACAAATGAAAGAGACATAATGTTTTCAGTTGAGTCACAGTGTTGAATTTTTATTTTATCATTTTGATTGTAATTTTAAAAATGATGCCCAAAGAGAAATCAGTGCAATTAGGCTGGGAAAAAAAAGCTATCAGAGAGGTGAATGCACTGCCCGGCTCAGATACACAAACAGACCAGAGAGACCACAGGAGGACACTAAAGTGCATTTTGACAGAATTATTTCCACAGGCAAGAGGACCAAATTTGACTTTTCCGGAAAGCATCTAAAAGACTTTGTAGAGTTCTGGGGAAAAAAATCTTTGGACAATAAGAAAACAATAAGAATTTGTATTACAATGGAAAGAGAAAAATATGAAGACGGAGAGAAACAGCATACGCCATTATCATTCAACTTGAGGCAATGTATGCTGGCAACGTTATATATGGCTGCCAATAGAACCACTTCACTAATGATGTTATCGCTAATAAATGGCACAGGATGAATCCTGAAGTCTACACACCTATACTCTTTATCCAGATTTGGCCAAATGCTTAAAACTGATCAGTGTTTCATGAAGCAAATGGATAGTGACCCAAAGTGAAATGCAAATGCAGCCCAAGAGTTTCTCAAGGTGAAGAAATGGAATACTTTTTAGTAGCTCAGTCAGTCAGTCCCAACAGAGCTTGATTTTTGGTTGATAGATGGAAAACTGAATACAAAAAGACCCATAAACAAGCACAACTAAAGGTGGCTGCAGTAAAAGCCTGGCAGAGCCTCTCAAAGGAGAAAACACAGCGTTTATCTACATGGGTTTAAGGTAGTCACTGACTGCCAAAGATTTTCATCCAAGTATTAAAAACAATTCTTATATCTAAAATTATGTTAGTGTGGCCAATTAAAAATGTCTCCAACTTCTAAAAATCTGTACATTAATCACATTGGTTGTTTGATTTAACACTCGCTTATGCTGAGGCAAAATTACAAGTTCAAAACTCATGGACTTAACCGGAAACCCTCCCATGAAACACAGAGTGGAATTTATTGATTTACATCGGCAGAAAACTTTGTGCCTCACATAGACAAAAACTGCCTTTAAAAAACAATGTCTGTCTTCAGTAAACAAAAGTGTTTGCTACGTAGTTTTTGGTTATAGGCTAAAGTGCAAATCCTGTCTCAATCTATTCACATAGTTCAGAACATAACTGCAGAAAATCAATTGCTTTTTGTTTTTATTGTGCTGGACAAACTTGACTCTATGATGTGGATTCCAGTATGTCCAGATGTATATAGAGCCTAGTGTGATGTTAAAAAAAAGTGTATGTTTCTGTTCTGTGTACTGTTTGTTTGTATATGTGTTTTTCTGGCTGCTGTTACAACCAAATTTCAATTAAAGGATTATTCTATTTTATTCTACAGTTCCTTACAGTGACCACTGGAGGGCACCAAATTCTCCTATTTCAGTGTGTATGTTTCAATCAAGGACTGCACAGTCACTGATTTCAATGGTACGTTGGTCTATGTTACGGAGCTACGGAGCCCCCCAGGGGACATGGGAGAAAAAAAAATTAGGGAGGAAAAAAAAAATTAAGACGGACTTTGGGGGGGGTCGCAAAAGTATTGCGAGATCTCGCAATAAGTATTGCGAGCGCTCGCAAAAGTATTGCGAGATCTCGCAAAAGTTTTAGCCGCATTCTTCGGAAGTTTAGGGGGTTTTTTCGCTGTAAAAAGAAGTTTTCTTCCCACGCACGATGGACACTAATGTTTTTGTCACTTTTTATGGAATCAAACTCAAAGTAAGGTCAATACTTCCACGCTTTAAACGCTGCACGCTCATACTGCACGCGTTCCTACGGGAAAGTAACGGTAATCTAATTACCGTTTTTGCAATAGTAATCCCTTACTTTACTCATTATTTGAAAAAAGTAATAAGATTACAGTAACGCGTTACTGCCCATCTCTGGTCTTAAGTGCTTGAGTTGAAGGGAGCTGCATTTTTTAAGCTTCTCCAAGCAGGCTCACCTCTCATCTAAAAAGTCTCTCCAGTTCTAAAAGCCCACAGTCACATTGATAATCATTGACCCACCCTGTCACTCACATTTAAGTCCACCAGCTCTAAGGCAACCTTGAGAGGCGTTTCAACCCACACTCATGTAACCTAAAGGACTCCAATTAGAGGTGAAACATCTTAAAGGCGTGGGCAATTAATTTTCCTAAGGGGCCACATGAGAAGCTGGGACTGTTGTGGAGTGCCACCCACATCACTCGTGGTCCTTCAAATGCCATGAGTCTATTTTCAAGCGTGTGAAGACAACAAACATGTTTTAACTGATATTAGATGTGACTTGTGATAATCGATTAGCTACAGTTGAAAGTCAAATGAAAGTAGGGTCTTTTTACAAAACCATATGAAAATCCTGTTTAACCACGAGATCAGAGACTTCTGCAATAAAATAAGTGACAACAGAAGTTGGTTTTACTCAAAATTTCTAAATCAGATTAAATCTTCAGTCTTCAATTCCAGCTTCTGTTTTTTGAGTTTTACATCATACTGACACAATTTTGTAAATAGAAAAGTAGAAATAAGAAGAACGGTGCAGAAAATAGCAAACAGAAAAATAGAATGACACCTGTTCTATGTTGAATTACCTAACCCACAACCACAAATTCTAATTAGGCACAGTCAAAGGCTTTAATCTGTTTACAAAACATGCAAACATCTCAAAAAAGCACATTTTCAGGATATTTATACATAAAGGTTAATCTTCACAAGAAAAAAAAAGCTGCATGATATAGTGTTGACAGACCCTGGAACTGACAAATTTTCACATTTCCCCATTTTAGTGAAACTAACATTAAAAGCTGCTCATATATGACTTCATGCTACACCAGTCCAGTGATAGGTTCTACTTTACACCTCAGAAGAAAAAAAAAAACCAATACACCGATTTCATCAGTGACGAATGAATCGTGTTGACATTGAAATGGAATTTAACTAAATCGAGTGTTCTCTTTTACATGCAACAAGAAAAAGTAGCACTTCAGCCTGCAGAAACATTGAAATATCATCTGACCATCTTGTAGTCAGACTCGTCACACCCGTACAGAAAGCTAAATGTGATAAAGAATCTGAGTGATTCACGTGACAATATTAAACAGTAAATCTCAGCAACAAACGTGTAAGGTGTAACAAATCTCCACATCAACAGACAGGACAGTTTATGTACAATATAAATAATGCATCTATGAAACCCTTTCAGTCATCATTCCTTTTCCAATATGATATTCAGCATTTGTGTGATGCAGTTATTGGGTAACCTTTGAAACTGCTGCCATTTTTGGTTCAGTCCGTGTATACATTTAGTGCACAGGTTTACCGAAAGAAAAAGAAAAAAAGTAGCCAGTGTACAAACTATGTGTAAGATCCTTCGTCATCATTACAGTGAGCCTCAAGTGACTATGATAGCTTAAATCTCTGGAATCTCAAATATAAACTGAGATCAAAATGATGATTGTCAGTAGATCAAGAGCTACAGTATGTAGCTCTAAATCACACAGTATATCGCACATGTTTATCAATGCAGGTGAAACTGTTTGAACATTTTTCTACCTGGAAAAAATGGGAATTATTTGAGAACGGGAAATGTGATACATATACAGATGACAGAGACATAAAGAATTTACAAAAATCATAATTAGTTAAGAATTTTGTTTTTAACAAATATGAAATGCAGGCGTTTTATTAATATTAACAGTGCTCTCTGTTTACAAAGATCCATACAATCATCCTGCCTTCCTTCTCAACATAATTTCTCTGCCTTCTCAAATTTTTACTAAGTCAATCCTTCATGTTGATAAAATATATATGTTTTAATAAAACAGGGTTCCCTTTAACATGCCTCCCCTTTCAAAAGCTGTTTCGGATATTTTAGCTATCTGTTGAACCACTGCCCTTATTCTTATTGCGGCTGAGAGGGAAAGTGGACTTGCTCTGTGGCTGGGTCATTTTGCTGGCGAGGTAGACAAAGGGTTCAATGAGTGTACGTCGGTCCACTACAGACACCTCCCACAGACGCACCTTCTCATTCTTCGCCCAATTCTGGGCCACGTTCAAGTCAACTCTCCTCTCTTCCTGCTTGTCCAGTTTATTACCCAGCACAACAATGGTTACCTATAGATCAGATTATCAAGTTAGTTCCACATTAGTCACTCTACAACTCTTCACATTGTGCTTCATGACAGCTGCTGTGGCTTCAGATACAGCAGATTGTCTGGTGAAAATTAAATATGACTGGGAGGAAACAATATTCAAATTAATAATTTAGAAATATCAACCCAGGACATAGGGCAGATGAATCAATATCTGGCATCTCTGGCTTGCTTGCTTCTTTAATATCCCAGAGACCTGTATCAGACCCAAAAAGCTCTCAAACTGCTGTGTCATGAATTTACAAAGGCTTGGCATCCCTCTTTAAGTGCACATTAATGAAACATGACCCCCAAAGCAAGGCTACAACAATGACTAAAGCCTGACAACTAATGTTACAATATTAAATAACAATGCATTCTGCTTCTGCATACTGGTGCAGAATATTCTGCAGCTTTATGTATTCTATATTGTACTGTTTTTATCCATCCATTTTCTTTCCCTTATCCATTTTAGGGGACAGCCTGGACAGGCCCTCAGTTTAACGCAAGGCAAATAGAGAGATAAACAACCAGTCACACTCACATTTACACATAATGGCAATTTAGAATCACCAATTAACCTAACTCATGCATGTCTTTGGACTGTGGGAAACTAGACAACCCAGAAAGAACCCAAGCAAAGATGGGCAGACAGTCACACAGAAAGGCTGGTGGATTAAAACCTAAGACCTCCTTACTGTGAAGCAACCGTGCTAATCACTACACCACCTATACTAAACCTTTTTATGTATATCTATTTATTAAAAAAATAGTGATATATTAGATATCACATATATTAGATGAGCCACACTTTGAGCAGAATATTTATGAGGTTTTTAATAAACATAACTTCTTCTATTCTGAAATTACTAGAACAGAACAAGTAACTGTGAGGTGTACCAATCAAAACCCATGCCCTCACTATACACATTAATTGTATTTACTGCTTACCTCTTTCTTGTCTCTGTGGCGATCAATGTCTTTCTTAAGGG